ATTGACAAGATATTGACCAAGTTTAGCATGCATAATTCCAAGAAAGGATTTTACCCTTTAGGCATGGAATTCATTTCTTTAAGAAAATGTCTCCTAAATCCCAAGAAGAAAAAGAGAAAATGAGAAATTGTCCTTATGCATCAATAGCCGGAAGTCTTATGTATGGCATGCTATGTATTAGGTTGAATATATGTTATGCAGTTGGCATTGTAAGTAAATACCGATCTAATCTAGGTGCTAAACATTCGACAACAGTGAAACATATATTGAAATATATGAATTGAACTAAGCACTATTGTTTAGTGTTTTGTGTAAAATCTATGTATGATTAGTTTTAAGTTCAAGTGGGAGATTGTTAGACATATGCCCTTAAAAACCAATTTTATTATTTATTTATTAGACAAATAAATTGTTGCATCAATTATTGAGTTCATATATATTATACCTTAAAGGGTATTTTATTTATTTATGACATATATGATATGATCATAAATTATTTAGTAACATTGAAGAAAAACTATGTTAATAGTTCATGAACTATTAAGTGGGGAGTTATGGTTCTTCAATTTCTTGTTTGCCAAAATTGTTCTAGGCTAATATGACAAACTGTTTAAAGCTTACACTTGTTATGCCTATATAAAAAGGATAAAATGTTTTAACTCTAGCACTGGGGTAGTGACCTTAAAGCAAACAAATGGGTGTAGTGTATGATATACATATATCGAACATAATCTAATTAAAAAGCATCATATAAGATTGTCACTGTCAACAATTAAAAAGAGCTCTATTACAATTTATTAATTGTCCTTAGACTTGAGAGGTCAATATAATTTATTTAGTATCTGTATGACTTTGATGTTGATAATAGGTGATGCTAAATTTAAAAGCTATATTCTAGTACATTGGTTTATGTACATACTAAATAAACTATATTGGATGCTTAGTAAAGGATTTACCATTCTCTATTGAGAAGGATATTCAAGCGATTTTCATATAATTGTTGGACTCAAGAAATTTGGCCTGTTTGGTTTCTAAAAAATGTTTTAGAATTATATTATTTATATTAATATTATATATTTGTGTTTTTGAAGAAAATATTTTTCAAAGTCCAACAAGAATGAAAATCATGAATTGGTATTAAATGGTTTGGATGTGACACTGAAAATTATTTATCCATAAAGCCCATAAGGAATATAGTATGGTAAAAGGATTGATTAGTAAAAATTGTAATGCAATAGACCTCATTGACAATTCTTTTCTTTACAAAGGGCAATTATAATGTATTGATGGACATTATTGCAATTAATGAGTAACTAAGATTTCTTAATTAATTTAAGAAACTAAATAATAATATTAGATTAAATGAAATTTCAAGTAAAAAATGAGTCATGAGATGACATAGACTTAGACCAATAATAGTAGAAAGAGATCCTTAAAGATCCCATGCATATTCTTCTTTTGGGTGTTGACTCCATAAATTTTTTATGATAACAAAACATTCCCCTTCATCAATGTCTAACTTTTACTTGAGTGTGCAGATGAAAATATAAATCATTTAATAGAATAATCACTCGAAAGCCACCATCAAAACTCATCAGGAGAAGGGGCCACAAAATGAGTCATAAACAAAAGCCTTTTAACCAGTTAACCAAGAGAGTATATCAACTAAGATTTAAAAGTTATGATTTAAAGGAAGCTTTCAACTTGAACTTCTGAACAACACTTGAAGAAGTCCTGGGTGGTTAGATAAATTTTGTCACTGATTAAGATTGGAGGAAGATCGACATAAATAAATTAAAAGAAGAATCAATCAAACAAAGAAAGGTTGGTGAAATTGGTTGCTTGAAAAACAGTAAGCCCTTAATCGGTTAAAGGATTTCTTAACTGATTAACATAGTGAAGCAAACTATAAAATAGAAAAGACTTAATCAACTAAAGCCTATAGTTAACCAGTTAAAAGCTTAGTGTCAAGAATTTCAACTTTGAATGATAGAAGACAAAATAATGATCAGACTAGTTCTTAAAGTATTTCCAATAGTCAAAAGCCATCCAAATCCTTAGAGTTAATTTTTTTCAAGTATAAAAGACATTCCCAATGGCTCTAATTAGTATAAGATGCATCCCAGAACCAAAGAGAATTAAGAATTGCAAAGATCCTAACATTTCTTCTTCTTGTATTTCACTTAAATCTTTATAATAGAATTAAGCACCTCATCTTATTATATTTAGATTAGGTTAATAATTATAGGTACATCTTCATATTTGTATTCCTTGATTACTTAAAGCGTGCGAGGCATTCTAAGGGATTAAATCAAGCTTGGTTGTTGTTCTAGGTTTTAACTTAACCTTAGAAAAGTTAATTTAGGTTTTGGTTGATCTTAGGAAACTATTGTTAAAGCTTGTGGCTGAACCTGTAAAAGGTCATTGTAAAAGCTTGGTGGAAGCTTGTGAATTTCACTGATTTTAGTAAATTGATTTAGAAATCCTTGATTATGAGAACAAGGTAGTGAATGTAGGTCAAAGGGACTAAACCACTATAAATCATTGTGTTTTATTTATTTTTGTTTATTTTCTTCTCACTCTTGACACTTAAATAATTCCTCCAACAAGCTTTAAACTTTTACTTTCAAATTCCCTCAATTAGCTCTTAACTTAGAAAATTTTTTTGTATCATTCTGAAAGTGCTATTCACCCCTCTCTATCACACTCTTTGGGACCAACATTGGGTTTTATATATAAGTCTTATTGGACTATGATTAGGTCTAATGAATCCAAGTCCATTGATATTTATAAAAGTAAGGGTTACTACTTAGTTGGTCATCAGAATTAATTAGCAACATGTTTTAGAAAACAAAGAACGTGAAAAAGAAGAAGTGTGATTGGTGAGGCATTTGAATCGCTTTTAAAGTACCTAAATCTTGATCTAAAACTTAATCTCTTTTGGAGTAGGTATTTGAACTGCTTTAAAGGTATGTACATCTTAATTTATAATTTTCTTATGGTAGATCCTTGGCTTTTATATTAAATAACAATTGTTATTAATGAATCAAAAATCAAATTCCGCATTTATCATAGACAAAGAAACTAGCAATTAGTTTGTAAATTTTTTGTACAAAAGGAAAGTTAATTGTTTTTAATTACTAAAGAACTTTTGAGGTGAAAAAGTACAATTTTTTTTTTGCAAATGTAATGCTAAACAAAAAATGATAAAGTACCCAATTTAGTCTTTGTACTATAAAATTTTATTCAATTTAATCCCCATACTCTACAATTTTGTTTAATTTGATCTTTATGATGTGATACAAAGAAGTTGACATTGCAAAAAAAATTTCAAAATTTTCTTTTGTTTTAACATGTGAGCCCAACATTAACATGGTCTGACATGCCAATGCTGCATCAATACTAATAACAATTAATTTAATCAAAGTTAAGTAAAAGGACTAGATTATACAAAATCTTAAATAAAAGATTAAATTGACCAATTTTAATAGAGAGACCTATGATTACTTTGACTATTTTGAAATAAGGCCTAGCAACCTGAAAGCTTGAAAATGAGCTGCAAAAATAGGCCCAAGAAGTGAAGCTAGCGACGTGAGGAATATGGATATGGTGATGCTGCTGTCAAGTAGTGTGAAGACATATCCAGAGAGAGAGTCAAACAGGGGATGAGGAGAGGAAAGAAAGACTCTGCTCAAATGTAGGCTTGAGAACAATTGTCAGGAGGTCCCAGTAGTCTGTTTAAGTTATTGGACCATGAAGACTTGACCGAAATCTGTGTAGCCGTGGAGTAAGTTCAACCAAGCAAATCGGAGGTCTTCAAGCTCAAGTAGGCCTGAGCTTTAACAGAAACAAGCCTATCCTTGAAGAGGCAAAGGAAATTTGGAACCTTGCAAAGGACCTAGAGATCATATCAAACTCAATTGAGGAAGAGGTTTTAAGCTGAATAAGATTGTAGAGGATTTACCTTTTGTGGGTTGAGTAGCTGCGTTGCTATATGTCGTTAAAAAGAATGTTATGAAGGAATCTGGTTTGAATTAAAGAGGATTCTAAGGGGATGACAGTCGTGTAAAGGGAGGGGTGACAAGGGATACTTTGTTGTGGCGAGGATCTGACTTAGGAAGAAATCAAAGAGGCTGTCAGGCATGGTGGTATTTGGCAGTGCACGTCTTACTATGATCAACGATGGTACTTGGTCACTTTATTACTTAGCTATGAACATAAGCTGAGGAGAATTGCTTTGGTGAACGGAGTTGTGATTGCTTTATTTTAACTTGGTATAATGTCCTGGTGCTGTGTTTGTTTCTGGTATTTGAACTTGTTGATTCTTTCCACAGGAGTTGTGTAAGGTTCTTGATTATGGGTGTTCTGGAGTTATATTTTTTGTTTATAGTGCTGGAACTGAGCTGCTTTTGCTTTGGGTGTTGTAAGGCGTCTAAATCTATGCTTTCCTTCTCTAAAGTGAAGATACTCCCTCCTTGTGAACGATTTGCCTTATAAATAAAATGTCTGGCTTATAATAAAAAACAAACAACGACGCAGTTGGGAAGAAAAATGGTGAAATTAAGTTGTAGCAGCTAGAGATTGAGAAAACAACAAACGAAAAAGGAAATTAAACCATAAGTGTCTGGAAAGCCTTCCTCGCAAATCCAGCTGGGAATTATGCATAGAAAAATATGGCCGAAGGAATGAATAGCGCGAAACAAACGAGGTGATATCCAGGCTTGGCTCCACTGAAATTACTGCTATCACTCTTCTCTAAAGCAGACGATGATGGTGTTCCGGTTGATGGTGAAGTGGTCGTCGTCGCTGTTGAGGAGGCATTGGTGAAGATGGCAGCGTCTGGTGAGTTTGGAGATAATCCAAGAAGCTCTGTTCATTCGGAAGGCAACATACAGTTAATTTTGGACGAGCTGTTTTTCCAATTAGCTACTCTCACTTTCTACTTTCAAGCCTTTATTTTCATAGTATCTTTCTTTAAAAGCTTTAATTAAAAGTATTCGTTGAACAAAATCTTTTCCCATTAAAAGTAAGAACAAGAGATTTGGGAGTGCTCCCAGCAATCTATCATAACCGCTAGACTCTTTATTACATACAGAAACTTTGGTAATTTTCCTTTTCGTTTTCTTGAAACGGTTTGGATTAAATTCCCATTTTAATTATAGCCCGGTGGCGGACATGGAACCTTATTGGGACAGTAGGTAGATGGTCCTTTCTTCAGATTGAAAGAAGACGGTCCTTGGCTTTGCCATTCAACATGATCTACGCATAGCTTCTTCTCCTTGGGCAAGAAACATATAGCAGCACTTACACTTAAACATGTCTAACGGACTCTCTCTCTCTGGGCTGATCTACATAAAAGTCGACTACCCGGCCCAAGGAGACCATACGGCAAGAAGCTGGCTTTAGCCGATTATTTCCCGCATTAACCTTTTCCTTTTCCATTTTATCCATTCCACATTTCCCTTTAAGAAAGTTAAAATCGCAAAGTTAAATGGAGCAAGCTAAACATGTCAAGCTCGTATTGGGATTACCTCTTTATAACTGACTGGCCCATCAGGTTATGTGAACAGAGTCACAAACATCAAACCGATTTACTATTTCTTGCAGGATTTCTAGACAAACATTTACTCTCTATATATTTATGATTATTAGCTTCCACAGTTTCAAGTTTCCGACCAGCTTTTTCTTAAAAAAAAAAAATCCAAAGACTAACAACTTCGTAGCAAGATTCACATTCCACAAGAAGTAGGAAAAACTTTAGTTTACTGCTCTCTCACCTATATGTTAGAACTTAATTAGGAGTGATCAAAATATTTTTCTGGAAACAACCATAAACTGGTTATGATCATGAATCACAGAATATTGACTTTTTATCCGCATGCAACCCCAAATCCCAAAATCTATGTTCTTTCCACTTGTCTAACTTGAGATCACTGCTATTCGATGTAAACTAATCAATTACTTAGCCATCATCTCCCGGTTTAACATAACAAGGAAAGCATGCATGCGTTTTCTAGCTTAAAAGAAATATATATATATCAAAGCAACAAAAGGGATACAGATAAAGAGAGAGAGAGCTCACTTGGGCAGTCACTGACGCTAGCGTTCTTTAACTGGCAAGCGGTAGGAAGCTGAAGAAGCTTAGCTTCCTGTACCCCCAAGCTCTTAAGGTTCTGAGCTCCAGACGTCTGGGTCTGCTGAAGAAGATAGCACAAACACTTTGGCTCATTTTCCTTTATACTCGACACCGAACTACAACACTCCTTAGTCGGCGTCGCCACCTTCCCTTGCGCAAAGTTCAGGCAAGTCATCACGCTCTGGAAATCTTTGCTGCACTCATTTGCTAAACCACTCTCATCAGCCGCTCCAACCCCACCCAATGAACCCCACAGCAACAAACTGCTCATCGACAAGGCCAAAACAGTAAAACCCTCTACTCCCATTTCTTTCACTCTCATAATTCTTCGATGCTTTTGCTTTCTTTTTAAGTTCGGATTCTCAGATTTTCAACTTGAAGAAATGTCTTTTGTTTTCTGGTTTATAGAAGGCCAAGAATGGGACATTGGAAGCTGGGGAATCCGTTGTCGCTTTAGATTATATTAATGACGTGCAGTTGAATGGCAAAAGTGGAAATTTGAGGATTCTATATGAACCGTCCAGTGGGAAGTTTCTGGTCCCGAATATGATATCAACGGTGGTGATGTTTAGAAAATTTAAGCTTAGATATAAATGGAGGCCTCTCGGGGTAGTTGGGCAGAAGTAAAGTTAGTTGTCGGTTTCAGAAGACAACTTTAAATTAGGCTGAGCTGTAACGCCAAACCACGTGTCCTTACACACCCCACGCGGCCGCAGTGATGAAGTTAAACTTCACATTAATTAGAACTATAAAAAAAAATAGATTATTGGTGTTTCATGTTTTCATACAGTGAACTTATAGCATAGGGCTCTTTCGAGTCACTAAGAGCAGAGATTAATTTTAAATGTTTAAATAATAATTTTTTTTAATAATTATATTTTTATTTAAAAACATAAATTTATGACAAAATGGTATTATTGTGATAAACTTCTGCTATACATGAATTAGAATTTTAAATGAGGTTGAGCTGTAACGTCAAACTTGTCTCTACACACCCCACGTGGTAAACTAATGAAATTAGGCTATACATTAATTAGAACCAGAAAATTTAAGAAAAAATCATTAAGTGTTTTATGTTTTCAAATTGAGAACTTATAATTTAATATATACTTATTACAATATCAAATTAGTAATAGATGAGATGAGTTTTAAATTTTAAATGATGATTTTTTTATTTAATAATTATATTTTTTTGAATTGAAAATATAAACTCATAATAAAATAATATCAAAACCTATCAAATTTTTTACTAACATAGAATTCTAATAAGAGATACTAAAATCGAGATAATTCATATCTTCTACGAGTAAATGAGCTCATCCAACAAAATTGAAAGGGGAATTAATGATCTTAATTTAGAAGTTGAATTTTGATTTGCAAAAATTTATAGTGTTTTACTAGAATTAAATTTCTTATATAAATATGAATAATCTGAAAAGAAGTTAGGTGAAATCATAATCAATAATAATGACTTATGATTAGTTCCATTTTAGTTCATAACTGCATGTTAGCCAATATCTCGTTTCTTGTAGCCTCCAAGGGATTTTGATGAATCCATGGAAGATTTAGACAGATGTATGTAAGACTTCCGAAAATCTTCAGAATCTAATAAAATATATTGATATAAATCTCTTCAATATCTTCTTTCCTCAAAGCATGCACCACATTTGCTCACAATCTGCTACCAAATTTTCAAAGCCTTCCTCTTCCATTTGCCAGTTGCCACCGCCATATCCGCCACCCTATCCTCCAACAGTGTATAGGCAAATTCACGCCAGCTTGTTCGCTGGGTCCTGTCAAGCTGCGTCGGGGCCTTACTTGGCCCATCTCTCATCAACTTCTAGCGGGAACAATCTTAAAAACCAACGATTCCGGTTGTCTCAGTACATCTGCTGACTGCAATTCTATAATGGCAAAAGCCAGATTGTTTCACGGTATCACTTTTCTTTTCCATGATCAGGCCACTTACGTTTGCATGGAAAGGAGAGGGACAAATGAAAAGAAGAAATGTTGAGGAAAATATTTATATCCATATATATACTAAAAAAAAAAATTATCATCATGTGAGTAGGTGTTGGTACAAGTTAAGAAAGATTAATTTTAATTACCAAAATTATACAGAGATCAGATAAAATGAACCTAAAAGATTAATACATAATAATTTAGAGTTATGTCATTTAGGATTTTTCTATAAATATAAGATTTGAGTCCCTTGTCTAAATTAATTATATCAAATTTTTTTTCACATGAATATATCTATACCCTTGTATTTATCTTTTCTATAAAAAGGAATCCTAAAGGGAGTCTTCATTCAACATTTGAATCGCTTACTTAGGGTTGTCAATGGATAGGGTACTTGTTAATTGTGAGGTACCCAAACCCTAACCTTATAAAGAATTAAATACTCGAACCTTATTAATTACTTGAATAATTTTGAAATTACTATCCTAACTCTAACCTTAATACATTTTCACTATTCTATAATTACCCTAACCCGTTTAAAAACCTGACTAAATAAAAAAATTATTAAAATATTTTTTATGGGTATCCCATTACCCCGAGCTTGAACCTATGTCCATATACAATAATATTTCTCTTATATATTTCATATAATTAACTCTAATTAAATAAATAAAAACATAAATAATAAAATGTAAATTTAAATAATCAAAAACTATAAAGTGTGTTTATAAATGAAAATAATAAATAATATAAATCAATATTATTTGATTGTTTAGTAATTATTAACTTATATAATAATAATTA